AGAGGCCAAGTGCTGCAGCACCCAACAAAGACTTGAGGAAGTTTAAAAATAAAAATGCATTACGCAAACAAACGGCACTTTCTTCTTCAAAAGTTGAGGTGATAAATATCAGATTAATGTACGATGTTTTTGCTAATAATAGTTTTCTTCAATAGTTAATGATATTAACTTCCCTTTTCCCATAGGCCTTCCTTTCATAATGCAAGAGATGATTTGGAGCTTGTATGTCTTCCTAGAAATTGTCCAAATGAATGGAAGACTATTGCTGTCTATATCAATATGCTGTTTTATTTTTCTGTGTATTTTCAGATCTGGAATAAACAAAATTTTGTTAACTGTTTGCAATGTAGATTATGAATATTCTTTTCAAAAAAGTACAAAGCAGTAAGTTGTTTAAGTCAGAATTAAGAATAACACTTGTGAAATCATCTGACTGTCACAATTACATAACTCAGAGTACTCAAAACTGAAGTACAAAACAAATAGGAAAACAACAGTTAAGAGGAATCATTTTCATCCCTGCTAAACACCTTAACACTCCATTTCAAAAAGAAGATCTTTGGTTGCTTCCTGCTGTTTCTAAGCCAGTCAGTTAAGAAAGAACATTAAAGATAAATGGCCTAGCGTAATCAGTGCAATCTCATAAGTTTAGATAAACAGGAACTAAAGGTCCAGACAACCTGGGGCCGTGATGTTGTACATCTAACATCCTCATTAGAGCAGGAATGTTACAAATCAAAAATTCTGTAGATTTTTCTTGGTACATTTTCACAGTTAAATACCAGTTACCTGAGGCAAGAGACATATATAACTTTTTTTTTTACAAGAAACAAAAACCAAGCCATCTTAACACAATTAAAACAAATTAGCAGGACTATGAAAATACTTACCAGCTAATAGGTTAATTAACTGACATATGCATACAGAAAATTGTATGTAAAAGCAACATGAGGTTTGGAAAAACTTACATCGTCAATTTCATCATCATCATCACAATCGTCAAACATGATGGTTTCATCATAATCATCTTCTAGTCCAGTATCATTGATTTTAGCTGAAAGCAAAGAAACATTTTATCACTTCAGAGAATCAACTGAGTTGCAATTTATTTGTGATGTGGTATATGGTTCAAATAAATAGCACAAGCAGATATTTACCATTAAAACAGTGGGTTATCAATGTTACTTAAAAAACTATGCACTCAAAGTCTCTGTGTGAAGAAGTTGCTTTTCAAAATTACTGAAAGACCACTGAAAGCGCAACTCGGCATTTGGCACTTTCTGTAGTATAAAATGATTAACCACGGTGGCAGTGACAGTAATGCAGAATGTGGGATAGCCAAGACCACATGTAGAGAAAACTCAAAACTAACATCAAACAGCACAAATTATGTAAGGATACAAATGTCAAGTTGTGTTTGACAAATTGGAGGAAATAACATATACTTCAGTAATACTAAGAGCAAATTAAAGCACCCAAGACAAACTGAATTAAACACTGCCCACATTACTACAGAAAACCAACGTATCTACCCCCCCTTCAACAGAAATCAATCATTTTCCAGTTTGAGCATTTCCTGTTGTGTCTGTATAATTCATCCAAATTATACAGATATTTTTCAGTATTTTTTAAAATAAAATAAGACTTCCCCGTATGTTTTTAGGTACTTTATTTTCTATACTACACAGACATAATATTTAAAGATAAATATTTATTTGTTATGGTTGCGTGTGTCAATATATCCCTGTTCTTAGCTAGGGGAAAGCTTATAAATACCTGTTTCTGGTAGTTCTCCATATGCTTTCAAGTTTCTGGCCTCATCTGGTGTGTATTTTAGAATTACATCTGCTTTTCCATCTTGGTAATCTCGAAGTCCAAGAAGAATAATATCACCACCATTGATCCACACCTATGAGAAAATTTCAAATATCTTCATTATTTGCATAAACACACTAGATAAATGTTGTCAAATCAATCTAAAGCTTTGTAAACTGATATTATTGTAATAGTAGTATTTATTTTCTTAAATTTTTATTTATTTTGTCATATTTTCAGTCTGTTCCGTTTGTATGTTTCCATTCCTTATTTTCTGTATTCCCTGATTTCTTTCTTATTCCTTGTTTTCCGTCTCTATACGTTCTTGCTTTTCATTGGTTTAAAGTCTCTAACCGGTAATTTCCTTTGTCCGATTCCTCACTTTCTCTTAGATCTCGTAGGCTGAAGTTGTCTTTTATTTTACAGGTAAAATTATTTTCTTTTTATCTTTAATTTAAATATTTATTTAGCAAACTATGTAATTTATGTAAAAAATAAGGACTTTTTCTCTTAGATCTCGTAGGCTGAAGTTGTCTTTTATTTTACAGTAATAAAAACTGTTACATTATGGTGAAAATATTGTAAAATTCCACAAAAAATAAACAAGCAAAAATATTGGCAGACTCGGGGTGTTTGGGTGGTGGTAGTGGCAAGGGTTAACACCCCTCCCCCACCCCCTTTTGCCATTTTACAAAAAAAATCTCTTTCCTCAAGCGGGAAAAATTGACAAATCACACAGACAATTTCAAATACTACATCAAAGCGTGTAAATTTTGCCAAATTCAATACATACAAAGTAAGCCACTACCATTTTATGCAAATGAACAAACAAATAGATAAATAACAAAATAAAGTACCTTTTTCCTCAGTTTTCCACGAATATGGCAAAGTCTTTTTACACCATCAAAACACAAGGCTTCTAACCTTCCATTCCCAAGCATCTTTGTGACTTGGGCATATTCTGGAAATGAAATGCGTTAGGTGAGCACTAAGCACCTTCTACACAATCAGTCTCAACAGACTCCAACAGAATCTTACAAACACATTTTACAAAATATCAGCATACAATGTGAAAACATTTTATTAGGGTTTATAAAATTAAATATAATTCATTTTTTATTAATTCAATAATTCTTCTTCAAATAAAGGATACATTATTCTGTGTCCAGCTTTTAATGAAAAAGTTTTTAATCAGGCATCTGTATCAGATGTTCAATCCTTCGAACAAATCATGCATGACCAAACAGCTCTCCTTTTTTCCCCGGTTTTAATAAGCTATTAAATAAACTTTACTTTTGTTGCACTGAATTTGGTATCAAAATTTCAATGCATTTATGCAGTTAACAACTGGAAATTGAACTGTGAGACAAGTCTTAAAAATTGTCAAATAAACCTGACGGAACTATGAAGCACAGAGCAGGGACAACAGCAGAGTGTATTTAACACAAACAAATATGATACTTATTTCACTGAAATTGAGACACCAATGCAGTATAAGGGAATGGCACAATGCTATTAATCTGACAAACTATTTTTATACATTTTGAGTCAAAACATTTATGAGAACAAATAGGACCATGTCTTGTTAATCATGGCTATAACTCTGACATAACAAGAATCTAAAATATTAAGAATCTATTTTCTGAAAGTTTGACTTTTAAATCACCCTAAATTGCTAAAATATTATTATTTACCATTCAGCAACATGTAATTATCAGAACTCCTTATTACCTTGTCCATCTTCCTTGAACACCAACTCCCTTTTTTCATTTTCATTCTCATTTTTTCCTCTCCTCCTGTTTTTACCTCCCTTTCCTAAGAAATAAGAAAAGAAAGATCGCCATGATGTTTAATACTGATATGGGAAGAAACGGAGACTGCTTACCTTTTACTCATTATTATACCTCTTGTTGAATTGCTGACTTATTTGCCGGTTACTATATTAAAAAAATATTCTTTGTGTTTTGCACAAGGATACTATTGGTCAGATGAACGGGCACTATTAGTTGACCCGAGATCAAAGTGAATTCTAACCCTTTTGCTAGGTAATTTATAACAGACCGTTTTGAACGATTTCCTTTGGACATGCGACTCTGCTTCGACGCAAGTTGTCTTGCATGCACGCCTGGTTTGCAACTAAATTTATCTTTTTTTTTTTCACCAATTTTTTCATCAAATTTAACCAAATAAAAGAATTCTGGTTCAATGATTATTATTTGTAAAGAGCTACAGCTCTGAAGAACTTGATAAATATTAATTAATTCCAGTTGTTTTTTTTTTTTTTTAAATTTGGTCTAACACAATCTGGTGCCCATATTCCAATAATATGGTGATAAAAATTTCTTTGAAGGTTCTTATAAAATCACCATACAGAGATCTTTAAGAAAGAAATAAGTTATGATAATAATGCATCTATGAAAATCTATTAAAAACATGCAATACCCTATCCAAGCTTTTGATCCCTAGTCCTTTTCAGGGATTTGAAAAAAAATGGTTAACAACAAGCTCCTAGGATATTTGACGTCAGTTACGTGTTAAAGACGGGTAATTTATTTATTATTATTATTATTATTATTTATTTATTTATTTTTTGTTAGATTATCTTTACAAAGATCGGCAAGGCATGTATTACCCACGGTGAGTGGTATATGGCATCATACTTATGCAAGATGTGACATAGTTTAGATCAATATACCACACTGTTGACTAACTTCCCTTTGCTTATTTATATATAAAAAAACTTTAAATAATTGAAATATATCAGTGGTACAAATTAAATATGGTTATTGTGTAGTAAATATTAAAGACAATGAAATTTAAAGTGTCTACTTATTTTTACATTAGGTGTCAGTTATTGTGTGAGATAGCCCATCTTTCAGTGAAAGTAAACCTTGTGCGCAAGAAAAATTCAACAAAATGAGAGTGAGAAACAATATAAAAATTCTACCTTTTCCACAAAGTTTTGAACATAAACAATTAATCAAGCTATCTGTTAAAGATTTGGGGGTATAGAATTTAAATAGTAAACATAACTGGTTATATATAGATTTATATCTATATGTATTAGAAGAATACAAAACAGAACACAAAAGAAACCATCTCTTGCAATTTCCAACTGATTTAAATTACCTTTTTATCAGTTTGATAACATTAACGGAAAGTAAACTTCAAAGTAACCAAACCCCTGCACTTTCATCATCACGCTGTCGTTGAACATTCTTGGTCTAGCAGGTTAATAAAATTTACATTGCACAACGTAATTTCCACAACAAAATGATGTCGGGTCATTCAATGAAAAAGTAAGTTCGTTTCACCAACATCATGTAAATTTTTAATGGAAATAAGCGACCCCTCAACATATGACAGTCTTACCTTTATTCTTTGGCATGATCTAAAATTGAAAACGAACTTCTTCAAATGAGATATTCAACCAAATACGTCAACAGAGTGGTAAATTTCTGTGTCAGTCCATATGTGCTCTTGTCTCTAACACGCATGCGACAACATGATAGAGAATTGTGGGAAGACTTCCGTCTTATCTGGTGCATTTGATCATGTTTAAATATTGGATAAAAACAAAAAAAAAAACACCAGAAATTGGAGTATCTTATATAAGATTCTTAAAAAAACTCGTATAATTCTATGCATGTTTCATGTTGCATAAAATAAGGAATTTTACTGTCAAACGAAATAAATTATACCAAGCACAACTTGGCGCCGAGGGCCTGGAATGTGTTAGATGAGATTAAACAGGGTCAGGTCAAACAAAATGGGTAAATATGATGATTAAATATTTCATATTGATGACTTTTTTTCGCAACATTGATCATGGTGAGGCAACGAGGCCATGACATTATCAGAGGAAAGGTACCCTTTGTACGCACGAACGGTAAACTATTATGAAGAAGTACAGAAATGCTAAACAAGGTGTTTAAACGGCCCTAGTAGGTGTGGGTTGGCAGGATTACATGTAGGTCGCAGTGAATCATACAGGAATCAGGATATTTAGCGGTGATTTTTCTGACCAAGCCACCGATGATTTATTGGGTCACTCATCATTGCAACTAAAGGAAGAAAAGGTAAGATACCTTAGGTTTGTCAGTTTTTTGGTAGATTACACGAGTTTTTCATATTTAAAGAGGAACGAATTTTATAACAGAACTTCCTTGTTGGTATCCAATGAAAGGTCTTTGTCGAAAGTCCGTTGTTGAGCTTAGTTTACCAGTAACGTATCCATTTACATACTGTTTTGAGAAGGAGACATAGGTGTGATTTTGTGATATACCTGGTTTGATATCCATGTAAGCCACTATCTTACTGTTTATATGGTCAGATTTTTTCAAATGACTTAATATGAACATTTATACAGTAGATGTTGAAAAATATGAACATTTGTAGATGTTGAAATGTACAAAGTACAGTGTCCTTGTGTGTTATAGTATACAGGGGTACAGTGCAACTCAGATTAGCAACTGGAAGCCCAGTCCATTTTTAAAATTGATTCCCAAACATTCGTAAAATGATATGTGATTTAGACCTTGAGGTCGATATTTGGGCATGAAATCATGGCCTGCATAAAACTCACATGTAATATAACAAGCCATCGATGATGGTTAGATCAATTACTAGGGAGAGTTCAGATAAACCTATCTCCTCTACCAGCAAGGAGGTACATGTAATTAGGGGTGGATTGAGGCTGTCTTCTGAGTCTTCTGGAAGACTGCGGAAGACTGTCAGATTTTCAAGTTTACATCGACGGGTATCTAATTTTTTTCTCTTGGAAAACGGTCAAAAATGAAGGATGGATCAACAAAAATAATTTGGAAGACTGTCAGAAAACATCTCTGGATCTGCCCCTGCTATCGTACCTGTTCCATTTTGGAAGCTCTTTCACTCTTGAAAAGAGGCAATGTCTGACAATTAAGCTGATAACACTGAATGCACTATAGTTTCATCATGGATGGAGTTTCGCAGCCCATTTCCTTATTCATATACTAATAGGTATAGAAATCTTTGTATCATTGTACCTGTGACAGTGCAGGCCAGTGATCTCACCGGTTGACACGTAATGTGCAAATGGCAAGGCTGTATATTATGAGTTATATTTTCTATTTCATACTTTTCTCTGAACATTGTGAATGGTCAGTTTTGATAAAATCAGTGATTAAAGGAGATTCTCTGTTTGTTGATGTTTAGTATATAAAAATGTGCATTGTTACATAACGGGCACAGATTTTTTTATAACACTTCAGACTGAATTAGGGTTCAATGAAGTATACTGGAAAGGCTGACAATGGTGGTGTCATTCTTTCGTCATGGTTGTCAACTCTATGCATTTATGCATATTCTACACATATTTTGTATTGTTTCCCTTTGTTATCACCTGGGTGTTATACTATTGTTAATAATATGTGCATGATCTGTGTAAGTAGAACGCTATACAAAAGAACTGAGGTAACCTTGATTTGGCAGAATAAGAGATGCACAGTACACAATGAATATGATTGCTGATGCACAAATATATATATATAATACAACCTGTAAATTACCCTTGCAAGTTGATAACAGCCACCTACTTCATGGTTATTCCATAGTCTCCTCACTGATTATTGAACCATACTTAATGGAAAGGATTCATGCTTTTTTTTTTTTTTAATTATGAAAGAGCTCGGGGGGGGGGGGGGGGGGAAAATTTTAAAACAGTTTTTTAAAAAAGTTTTAAAAAAAGGAAAAAAAAAAAATGCTTTCCAAAAATGTCTTTTTCCCTTGTTTTTCATTTTGGGGACTTAATTTTTTTTTCAAATTTTTTTTTTTTTTTTTTGATAATTCNTGTCAAGTTTTTTTCTGTTACTAGTGTGCATACAAACAAGTAATCGCATGTTGTATGCTGCTAAATGAAACATGTTCACGTGATGTAGTATGATGTGCAGCTTACAAAAGCAATGGGATATCATATCATACTAAACGGTACACTTATTTGACACTTACTTATCTGTAAAAGAAAGTACACTTGTCACATTTGCAGTCTGCCTATTTATTTTCACTGATCATGAATTTTTCTTCTGAAGTCACGAAAAGCATGCTATTAATTTGAGCTTTTCTTCATTCAGTCATGACTTTGTTATTTTTATCTCATGCTTAAATCTAAGACCCCATTCACATAGACACCATCGGACTATGTAGATCGATCCAACTTCGCGTGGACTCTTGCTGGTTGCAATTAGCTTAACTGAATAACACACCTCCTAGAACACAGAAAAGCTGGTGATTTAATGAGTACATTGAAAACAAGAGGAGGCATATCATTCTGTTAAGCTGTTTGCACTCAGCGAGAGTCCCAGCAGAGTTGGATCGATTTACATAGGTTGATGGTGTATATGGGAATGGGGTCAAACTATACTTTATCCTGGATAATCTTACACTGCTCATAAATGCAAGTTTAACATTTTTTGTTTAACTGTACAGCTTTATACCAAACCATCATCTTTGCTCTCAATTGTTTTGTGCAGTTTGGCACACTCATTTATCCATATCTGGTGAAAAAATGCATAAAATTTAGACAATTTCCCATTGTTAAGTGGGATGTAAAGACATGCAAATACCACAGAGAAATTTTTTGCATGTGCTAGATTGCAGCCAAAGAATCATTGCCACCTTTCATTATATAAGCATGTATGCATTTGGACTTATGAACTTTCCTTTTTTCCAGCCCATTGGAATATTACATTTTGTACCAGACAGAAAGGGAATTCAGAAAAGAAGAAATTTGAATCTCTACAGACGTTTGAAGCTTAAACAATTATTTAAAGAAAATAGTGAATATTGGTTACTAGTCCACATTTGACAAATGCAGATGAATTCTCCAAAAGCGTTTTGGAAGACTATGTGATTGACTGTACATGGATGGAAGTGCCAATAGAGCCAGCCTTAGCCCAGGTGTGGTGTCCAGGGACTCTTGTTATGATTCTGACTGGTCTCCTCCTGGAAGCAGGCGGGGGAGCGTGGAGGGGGTCACCCCCAGTAGCAAAGGAAACAGAACTGTCGCAGCGGATTTCCCCAGCACAGGGAAGGATGTTGCCAGGTGTGGGGACCACAGGTGGTCATCAGATTTGCCCGAGTTGCAACACAGAGAGGCACCTGTCATGGATTTTGACTCCTCATCCACTCTCTTAACCAAGCCTGCAGGAGCTGTTGGTGACAATGTACAGGCACCGAACAGGTCACCCCCTTCTAGTCAAGACTATATGGGGAGACTGGAGTACGTGATAAAACTGGGTTACACTGAGGACAAGATGAGGACTGTGTTGAGCAGAGTTGGAAATGATGTAAGTAACGATGTTCTCCTGTCAGAACTGATAAAACTAGGATCATGTCAGGGTGTTCCAAAGGATGAGGAGGAAGAGGAAGAATACTTGGATAGTTACCAGGAGTCTGACAGGTTGGACAGTGGACACTTACCTAGTAAAGATGACCCCAATGGAGGTTTGCCGCCTGGGCTTCTTAATGATCCAGACAACACTTCCAACCTTAGGCCCATTGTGGTGGATGGCAGCAATGTTGCTATGAGGTAATTATTTACCATGCTTAATTTTCTTTGGTCATTGGTGACATTTATTTTTTCTATTTTTTTTATTTAATATATTTATTATTGATGGTTTTATTATTTATTTATTTGTTTATTTTGAGGTTTGGAGAAACCAGGTTTTGCCGTTACTGCAAAATCTATCTAATCTCAATTAAAAGCCTGTATGGTTTTAAAAGTCAATAACACTGACAGGATTGGCCTGGTGCATTTTTTCTCCCTTTCCAACTTTTCTTACAATCACATTTGTCACTGAAATATATTTGATAACAACCATTTGTTACACAGGTAACAAGTTTTTGAAAATTGGGAACTCTTACTTAGCACTTTAAAATAATTATCTCATAAAGGGAGGTTTCTTTGATATTCCTTATAGTCAATATTTGATCAAGGTTTGAAAGATTTTTGCTGACAAATGATTTATGCTCTGGGCCACATAAAAGGTCACAGACCAGGAAAAGTCCTTGATATATGTGTGCACAATGATATAGAAATGGATACTAGTTCAAGTGTATGCACTATGAGTCCATTTGCACCTTAGTTTGAAACATATTTAATATAGGAAAGGAGATGGCCTTCTAGGGACACAATTACTGTTTTGCCTTTATTGCCAGGTTCACCTATATTGGCATGTAAAATTCTCATCGAAAATTATTTTTGCTTGTTGAGCTTATTTATTTTTTGTGCTGTAATTTTCATTAAAAATGGTTTTTTGTTCAGTGAAAGAGTTAGATGATTGGCTTAAACAGAAATGGAATAACAAAAATGTGTTTTATTCTCTAAATACTAGTTTTCCTCCCTCTTATTCCCAAATAATTTTTCTTACAGCATACACAAAATATGTAATGAATTTTAAAAGGAATTATATTTTAGATTTTCAACTGATTTATGTACCTAGTCATTTTGTAGTTTGGAATTTCCATTCATTTTTAATGACATAAATAAAGATATATTCCTAGAAATGACAATTATTGCAATTCTCAGTGACTTCTAATTCTATATTTCGGCCTACATGTTTTTACCTAAGTAATGTTGCACCACATTTGTGCCTATAAGATATTAGAATTATTCTGAACTGGAATGGTTCGGAATAAATTACTCGATGAAAAGAAAAATGTTCATATATTTTAACTTATGTATGGTAAATCCAGGTGGAAACTAATCTTATCTCACATATAAACTAGAATTAAGGCTACCTTATTTAATTTATTACAGTCACGGCAACAAGGAAGTATTTTCTTGTCGGGGAATTCAGCTTGTGGTGGATTGGTTTCATGAAAGGGGGCATCAGGATATTACTGTATTTGTTCCACAGTGGAGGAAGGAAAGTTCTAGACATATGTCACCCATAGAAGGTTGGTATATCCTTTTAAATAATTATAAATATTAAAACAAAAGATTCAAGTACAGTGTATGGGATTGGGCTTGAGACTGAATACAGAACATAATAATTTGTTGGATTTTTTTCAGTTTTTGTTTACTGTCTTTAAAGAGTCATAAGTTAACTAAACGCCAAACATCAAAATATTGTACTAGTATATGGGCATTTCTGGCAAATGGTCAACCTCAACATAAAATTTTCAAAATTGCTTGAGAATTTAACAAAGGGTGTCATTTAAAAGCAGAACAGTTGAAGTTTTTGGAACTACTGGAGTTTTTAGGATATCTTTTGATTTTTCTTAAGAAAAATTATGTCAGATGTGGTCCTTTTTATAGATTATTTTTCATGATCCAGTTAACAAATTTAAATTGTGAAAATCTTAATCTTAAAATACATTAACAAACTTTTATAGTATACATTAACAATTGGCACATGTCTAAATTCAACAGAAAAGAAAAAAATTGATGAAGCTCTTAATGTTTAAAAAAAATTTGACAAGCTTTTGGTGTGCAGGTCAATATACCTCTGTTACAGAAAATACATTTTTTTTAGGTCGTACAAGTACGTCTGATACAGCCAAACTGTACTTCTGTAACATCAAACAAAGTGTTCTAGCTCAGTAGTCTCAATCAATTTCTTAACTTGTCCTGGCATTTTATCAACCTTAACATCTTTTTTGCAATATATATTTTTTTCAAAATTTTTGGACTGCAAACTTCACAGAGTTTTTGAGATGAATAAAGCAAGTTGAAAAATCTCATTTGTACGCATACGTCCGTTACAGGGGTGTTTTCAGAATGCTACACAGCCATGCAGAGGAGTTGAATCATATTACTTTATATGGTTATATAACCAACTAAGATACACATATAGGCCACAAGAAATTGGCTCCAAATGGGCAGGATTTTGTGCTGTGCACTGCCAATGTGTGCAAAATGTACATCCGTATCGCTAGAATTGCCCATATTAAAATGGTGAAATGACTGTATAAAGCATTGGTAGTAATTTCTATGTTTAAAAGTCTTGTAACAGGCCTGAGGACATTACTATTTGAAGATTTATGAGATCCCATGAATTTCCTCTTTAAAAATCCATCCTCTTTCAGTATTTATTTCATTTAAACTTGGCCTTCTTGTCCATGTACATGTAGATACACAATATAGTTTTGTGTTTATAAATGGTTACACAAGTCTTTCTTATCCATGTATAACTTTTGTTTTTAGACCAGGAAATATTAATACAGCTTGAAAAGGAAAAGGTGCTTGTTTTCACTCCTGCACGTAGGATTCAAGGGAAAAGAGTGGTTTGTTATGATGACCGCTATGTTATCAAATTGGCAGCAGAGACAGATGCCATTGTTGTTTCTAATGACAACTACAGAGATTTGCTGAATGAGAACCCAGAATTCAAAAAAGTGATAGAGGAGAGGTTGCTGATGTATTCTTTTGTCAATGACAGGTAAGATGCATGTTTTAATGCGGTATTGCATGCAGTGCTCAGTCAGTAATGATTGGAAGTTTGATTACAAGTTATAGATGGTTAATACACAAAGTGGCATTGTTGTTTTCACGCAGATATAGGGGACATTTGCATGTGAAGGTGTGTTTCACCTTGTTTTGATGCCAAAGAGTCAATTTCATATGATAGAAATGTCAATTTTCCTATGCATCTGTCCATTACTAAAATGCTCGACCTAAAACTTAAGAATGAAAGCTGTCTGCCTGTAGAGAAGTGAGATACGCAAATTACCGAAAGTTGTCAAGTTTGAATATAATTTCTAGCAGCTGATTGTGCAAATATGATAACACATGAATTTTGTACAAACTTGAACTTAAAAAAAAAAACAGATTTAAGCGTCATGTTTTCATTGTTTGCCAAAATAAACTAGTGTTTCTCTAATTATCATAACTATTGTTTGTTTTGATATATTGAGTTTAAGTTGTAATATTTAAGAAGAATTGTTTTGTTGTTATTATACATAGTTACAGTGTTTTTTTTAACAAAAGTAAAATAAACTACATGTAGAACTAGTATCTAAATCATCACATTTTGTATTCCTACATTAAAAGCTGATACCAGTTTGTTCACCTTGATATCTTTGTAGTTGCAAGTAATACTTCATTATTTCTTGCGTAAGATATATTTATTTAAAGGTATCCTGTCCAAGTTTTTCCCTCAAAATGAAATTTTGAAAAAAAAAAGGAATTTTTCCTACTTATGAGTCATATTGCTCAGCCTGTTCTGCCCTGTGGGTTTGATGATTTATACCATTTTTGATTAAATGATATAGTTCTGAATGGCTGGCCTGTCATTTAAACTGCAGTGTCTTCCTTTACCTTTTAAATTGAGATATTGACATCAGTTTACTGAGGTACTTCAGTTTAAGGGGTTATAGTTTTAATGTCTGATTTGGACATGACAAGTAGCTTTGCAAGATATGTACATGTAGACATAAAAAAAATGAAAATATGAAAAATTAATTTTTTTTCCAAATGTGTACAGTTTACCCTTACTAGTAACTGATGACAGAAGTGGCAGTGTAAAAACATATTAACCACAATGCCCTATGATTATCATGTGATAAGAGGAAAGGAATGCTTACATATGTATAATCTAACTTCTGTGTGTGACAATAACACAGCAGTAATGTGGTTTTTTCATGTCCTTAAGTCACACCATTTGTACATATTAGACCCAAAACTACTTTATTTTTAGTCAAACCTTGTGCATTTTTTTAATGAATTGATATATCATAGCTTGTGGTGGCATATATGCCAAAAGTAAGAAGTAAGAAATTTTATTCAAAATTTTAACTGATTATGACTGTGCTGTTTTCTTCCATTGAACTGAATTGATTTATAAACTTCTGGTTATTTTTTATCTGTTCAAAAGCNGCATTTTTTAATGAATTGATATATCATAGCTTGTGGTGGCATATATGCCAAAAGTAAGAAGTAAGAAATTTTATTCAAAATTTTAACTGATTATTACTGTGCTGTTTTCTTCCATTGAACTGAATTGATTTATAAACTTCTGGTTATTTTTTATCTGTTCAAAAGCTGTTGTAGATCTCTGTAAATCCCATTAAACAGAAAACTTGGCATTGGCTACATTGCTTTGAACATATTTCTATTCTGCCTGAATTATGTTCCCCCGAGTTTCAAAGTCTAACAAGCAATTTTCTGCACTTGCATATAATGTGTTGGTGTAAAGGAAACTACATTATGCTCAGAAAATTAGGGTGAAATTAGAGAAAAAAAGATGCGTGGGGGCGTAGAGGTGAAAAATCATCATGATACGGTTACTTATAGTACCTTTGCATGTTATGGGTTTGCATGCAATTTGGATTTCATGTTAATTGTTACAGGCATAAAGTTGCCTTTGTATTTATTCAATTTTTACAACTAAGGGAGGTAACCCCTATAGCTGGTAAAGTAAACAGTTTCATTATCTTTCAGGATTTTAGTATAGCTCAAACATTTGACACACCTTAAGTTACGCTGTTCTAATTTTCTAGGTTTATGCCACCAGATGATCCTCTAGGCCGTCATGGACCTAGTCTGGAGAACTTCCTCTTAAAGGAACCCACACAACCAGAGCCACTGCCACCTCCATGCCCTTATGGAAAGCGGTGCACTTATGGCAATAAATGCAAGTACTATCACCCAGAAAGGGGCCTCCAGCCACAGAAATCCGTGACAGAAAAACTAGCAGAGCAAGCCAAGGTCAAGTTTCAGGAAGTGAAAGACAGAAGTACAAAGAGCAAAGAACACCAGCAAGGTAAATATGTATATTTTCATTGTGAGCTGGTGGTCATTCATTGGATGAATATGTGTTCTTTGGTTATTTTCGTGTATTAATAGCAGATGTACGTAAGGATTAGGTATATGCTTTGATGAAAACGCATGATATGACTTATGCTGTTTACATCTGATATTAAAGAGTAATAGGGTCAGAGATCAGCAACTCGACAATTTGTGGTTTTTGAAATTTTTAGGGAGCAGCCTTTGCCCTTGCCTTTTAAGATATTTGCCGAATACGATACATGTATAAGCAATTGTACATTTTTACTTATTATCTTTATAATTTTATTCATAAAAGCAAAGCAGTCAGGAGTTTATTCTCAGTTAACATGTAGACATTTTTATACAAATTTATTTGTCATGTTTTTGAGGTTAAATATTAAAAAGTCTCTTTTATCCCTCAGATGTGCCTCCCAAGAGGCCTCCAAAACCAAAGACCAGTGCATCACCAGGTGGCAGTAAGACACAGCTCCAGAGAACGAAGTCGCTCAGTGCTGAACAAGCTGCCCTCGCCACACAGAGTAAACCCCAGGAGTTAAACAGCCCTGTGCCTCCACCACGTCCACCAAAATCGTACAAAGAAACACTCGAAGGAAATGAAGAAGACAGACATTTTAAATCACCTTTTGAGGTGAATGATAGGCAAATGATTAGCCTGAAGAAAAAGGAAGACTATAATGATCTGTTGGATAAACATCGGAGAAAGGTTGAAGAAGCTGAAGCTATTGAAAGGGCTAATCGAGAAAAGCATAAGATTACTTTAGACGAGCCTCCCAAGGCAGAAGAAACTACCTTTAAAGCACTTGCTCCATATGCGCACACAAGTCTGCAGCCATCTCTGTCCGACCCACATAGATTGTTAGATGATGGTGGACAAGGACATTTAAGTTTGGCCAAAAAACTCTCTGATGAAGGAGACCAGATGAGGAGGCTGAGAGCCAGGGGCCAATCTCCTGGTCAGTCTCCACTTGTTGATGATGCAAGAAATGCATCTCCCCCTGTTCCACCGTCTCGACCCTCAAAAGCTTCTCCTGGTCATAGGAAACTGGACCGACAATATTCTCTGGCAGGCGCAAATGACCCAAGAGTGCAGCAGCAAAATGTGACTTATTTATCGCAGCCGCTACAAAGCAGTTTGTACCAAGACAGGCCGCCTCAGAATATTCATTATAGCATTGGTCCAGATAATACAGATGAATATAGAATACAATCTCTGCCAGGCATGTCTGTTTCTCACTTGTCAGCTGAAATGGCTTTGCAGATAAATGATAATATGAACAGTCGCTCTTTGTCTCGTATGCCGAGTGCACCAGACACAAGTCCGAATACACTATCTACTGTGGCACAATCACTGAATCGGCAAAACAGTGCTTCAGACACACAACTCAACAGCCTTGTAGGCGAAGTGGACAAAATCAAATTGAAAACTAGAGGTACAATGGATTACCCATATAGGGATCAAAATGCTCAAGGTGTATGGCCAGGGACGAATATGTATGGTAATCAGTTAAGACCAGGTATACCACAGGCAGCCCATCAAGGATACCTGCCTCCACCTCCATTGTCAGGATATCCCCAACAGGGACACCATCCAGGATTTACCCAGCAAGGACAACACATGGGATTTACCCAGCAAGGACAACATCCGGGGTACCCTCAACAGGGCAGCCAGCAGCCAGGGTTTACTCAGCAAACCCAACAGCCAGGCTCCATATTAACTCAGTCAGGTTTTGTAGATTCTCGGATGTGTATCCCCCCTCCCCAACCCAATGAGCCATGTATGCCTCCCACATACTACAGCTACCCTCCTCCCCCTCCTTCACATTATGCTGCTCCCTTGCATCGTGTTGAGTCTTTCCCAGGTGCTGCTACTTCATACCAGTACCACCCCCCTCCCCCTCTCCCCCCTCGCCAGCACATACAACCCCATGTCACCCTGTCCCCACCTGGGCGCCAAGAGGCTGGTCACATCCCTATCTCTCCCAGTGATCCAAGGTTTACACTGTATTTCCATCTCTCTGGGCTGTTTCCGGCAGAGAAGGTGCTGGCAGTAATGGAGCAATTCCCTATGGAGACAAATGCACAAAAGTTGTGTGAACATCTGGTGAAGATGTAAATGAATTTTTTTTAAATGGTGATACCCCGGCTGCATATTTTTTGATCTGTTTAATGCAGTGCATTTAGAACTTTTTCAAAATTAAAAAAAAAATGGGGAATAAGTCTGTATGCTGTTACTTACTGGTGCTTTTCCCCCCTATAAACAGGGTTTGATAAAAACCCGAAGCATTATTTCATTTTGATGAACAGAAAAGATTTTGTAATTGGTGGTGAAACTGACACCCCCCCCCCAAAAAAAAAAAAAAAAAACTGCTTGCTGCCTTTGCACATTTTTTCTTTTAAGTGGGAACATTATTAAACTTAAAAATGGGTCGTTTCACAAAAAAAAGTGAGCATTTCAGTCATGTCAGTGATGCACACATTTTGTGCAATATTTTGACTTGCCCCATCATATTTCACTGTTTTATACTATTATGGTACCCTCCAGCATGGAAAGATATCAACAGTTACTCAAAAATAATGTAAAACGGCAACCATTACGCGAAATGTATGGCACTGACATGACATAACTTATATGTTCACTTTTTTTTTGTGATATGACCTAAAAAGATTTACAAAAAAAAAGATTGTTTCTTTTCACTTAGATAACTGCCTTTAGGTAGAAGATGCCCAAATCTTAGTTTTCATTTAAATGATATAATTTCTTTTTTGATAATTTTGATATAGGTTTACACTAAAGAATCCCCATGTATAATGCTGTATTAGTTGGCTAGGGTTAGCCACATGGTTGTGCAGGAGATGCAGATTTGCTTTAGTCTAATGCAAGTTAAGGCTCTTATAGTTACTGGTTAACTAGTTCCATTGTGAAAAGTGATTATGTGGTGAAAATAATTTAACGATACAAGTGTATCTAGTAATTATTTGTAGCATCAAAAGCAAGAAGTATCACAGTTGGATATTTTAAGGTTAATGTAATGTTGCAAAAATTCAAAATTTTAAATTAGGTCTTTGGACATTATAACAGTTATATGCATTAGAAAGCTTTAAAAACCCTTAACTTCAGGAGCTAAAAGAAATCTGCTTTCTTCATGCCAGAGTTGTCACAAAATTTGTGACATATGTCAGTATGCCTAATTCAGTAGGCAATTTAATGTGTACAGTTAATTGTTATTGATGTTGTTAGCTTTGGTAGAAATTAGGCATATGATTTCACAGTAGATATATCTAGTAAAGACACTAAAGTCTTGCACATTTTATCCAGATATTGGAGCCATTTGAAATGTACTACTCATTTATTCTAATTAATAAGATTGATATTTCATTAATTATTATTGAGGTATATCTGAAGTTTGTGTATGTTTATATGTTATGTATTAAAATTCAAAGGACATGGTCAGCTTGAGGACATCTTTTGTCTTGGCCCACATGTAAACAATTGTACTTTTATAAAAGCTTCTTTGGTGTTAAAATGTCCTATTAGGATAGATATTTATAAATACAAATTTGCCCAACTCATCTGAAAAAAAAAATCATGCGTTTTCAGTAAAAAACATTGTTACATATCACTCTTCAGGAAAAAAAATTGCTTAAAATTTTCATAATTGTGCAGATTTGTAATTTGTTTTTTATGTATATATGTACAAAATTCTTATGAATCTATTATTGGTATATAGATATATATTTATGTATTTGATGTAACTATGTATTCCTTAAAAAAGTTCTAAATGTGTTGGTTAATACTAAGTGGTAAATGGTATTCAAATAAAAATTGCTTGTAAATTATTTGAAAATGTTTTAAGTTTTATTTCTGAATTCCATAACCAGAATTTTCACTGTACTTCACCTAGTGTCATCAGGAAATGAAGAATCTTCACATATTTCACAATAATGATAAGACACATTGATAAGTTGAATATGGTCTTTAAAAAGTTTTTTCTTCGTTTTCCAACTGCTGATGGATAAAATCACATTCATTAAACACTAGGTCTTTTGAGTTTTAGAAAATGCAAATCTCTTGTTGGATTTGCTGCATTTCCTCTGCAGTCCAATCTAGTCCATTTTCAGTAATCCTGAAAATGAATTTTGAAATTAAAACTCATTGCTGCATTTGTTGTCAACTATTCAAATTCTTTTATTACTCAAGTTGCCAAACATTTGATCATAATATAAAGTCACTTCACTTCAATACCAAGTGCATGTAAAATAGTATAAAGCACACTGTCAATATCTTATATGTAAATATTCAAAATATTAGTGATTATAAGGACAAATTGAGATGAGAATACTATATTTTGCAATTCTACAGCATAATGAGGTAAAATATATCTTGAATACTTACACTGAATCACAGGTCTTACTCTCCTCTCTGTTAATTTCTTTGCTCATTCCACAAGTGACATCATCTGGTAACTGTAGGTAGTCATACTCGAAATGTTGTGATGGAAGAACACCAATAGGAATCTCGGCCCAATCAATTGGCTCTTTAACAAAAAATAACAGATTTACAAAAAAAAATTAAATGCAGTTATAAATAAGCTGCTTATGCTCCCAAAGTTCTTATTTAATCTTATAACATTCCTATAAAACAACTAAATGTAAATATATGACTGTTTCATATCTTGTCCTTTACCTGTACAAAGCTTCCATATTGAATGCTCTTCTTTTAACTGACCTGGTCCCTCTTCCTCAGTTTTAGCACCTGGAAAGTATTTTGTTATAATAAAACTACGTTTCTCCAATATTCCCTCAGGCCCCCCTTTGAAATTGATGGCTATGGGCCTGTCCCTTCACCTAAATTATGAACAAAAACATTCAAATATCTCCTCAAACTTTTGCAGTTGCTGCAATATCAGTTTACAGCATTGATATGACAATATTATACCCACAAGCTGTTCACCTTTTTTAAAGGAATGGCCCTGTCATGGTGGTCTTTTTTTCAATCTTACAACTTTGGGATAATATGTTCAAATAAGAAAAGGGTAAAAAACTCACTTCCTACTATATCTCCCAGTTTATGGACTGCTAGCTGCCCAACATCTTCAGATACTTTGCTGGAAAATGGCTGTCTTTGTTGGCTTTGGTAGACTAATGTTAAATACAGTAGGTGTTCAACTTGTCTAGGTGCAAGAGCTGGTTTTAAATATTCCAATATCCTGAGATCAGATATATATATGTAAGATTATATAGCAAAAATGATGAGGGAAATCAATCCTATTGCTTTTAAGACACACTTTGCATGTTGTAGAATGCAGGACCATAGTCACTTATGCCACATGTATGTGTAGCTACTGATAAAATTTCAATATTCACACTGTGACGCCACTATATCTTTAAATATCAAAATTCTTACACATGTATCAGCATAAGCATCCACTTTGAAGGAGTTTCTATGCACATGTCCAACATATCTTTCCATGGGAGAGAACATGGGGTTCTATATAACACAACATCTGACTGCAGGCCTGAATGTAAACACAAAATCTTAGTTTCATCCTTAAGATGCCTTTGCAATTTCAAAACTGAGAAAGTTGACGCTGAACATCACCTAGCTCTACAATATCTGTTTAATTTTCACTGTTGATGAAAATAAAGTGAGAGTGCTCTGCTCTATGAAAGACAGATTACCAGTGAACTTTACACAGACAATATGGAGGGCTCCTTCATTTAACTTAAAAAGTATAAGTTAACATCATACATTCTACATAAATATATATTACCACTATTTGCCATGATTATGGCAAAAACCCAGCCTGTCAAAAGCTTGTTCCTTAGGCTTGATTCATCAGTAACCTGGCCTAGCAAATACTGAGCAAGTGAGACTGTCATCTGAAGATGGTGAAGACGCTTCAGCACAGGCTTCCAAAATGTGAGTAATTCATGGGGTATATCCAAATTGTCAGCAGTTATGAAATCTAAAATTATACAGGAATTTCTTTTCATAATGATACAAATGCAATTATTTAAAAATCAATCACACTTTTATATAAAATGAAGGTGAGAAGAAGTCAAGGTTTGCTACTTCCGCACACAAGGAATCCTTATTTGTATACAGCTTATGAACCCATGCAAAGCATACTATGCAATCCCTCCCTTTCTGACAAACACATAACTTGCCTGGTGGTAGCAGTGCTTTCATTAAAAAACCCAATTGCTTTTTTGCAATGCTCTGGTTCTTCACTAGCAACAGCAAATTTGTTTGTTTTGTCTCATAAATTGTTGTGCGCAAGGAGCTAGTAATTGGTTGTTTTAAATTAGGTTGAAATTTGACTAACATAAACACAACTTGGTTCCCTGTTATCTGGGGGACAAGAAGTAAGTTGGCAGTAAGACCGGTTAGATATGGCAACTTTGTACTCTTCGCTTATATTAATTACCAAGATGAAATGTTATTTTAAGTCCCCATATGTCCTAGTCAAGAATTTGAAGTGTGGGTGTAAAAGTGGCAGTGTATTAATGACCACAAGTTTAAGCTAGATGTATTTATATATATCATTAGGTATTCAGTTAACCCTTACCTTCCACACAGATCCCCAGTGCATCAAGCTGTTCACTAGTTGATATGAAATAGCCTTCTTCACATAACCAGCTAATTGCTTTATTCCTGAAACATATTCAATATTGCTCTTACATTGATTTTAAGATGTGAAATACATTATCATATAGATGCAAACAAAACAATAAAACAAACAGCTTAAATAAAACAAAATTTTGGCACATTCCCTATCATTGTTATATCATGAAACATTATAGCTTAATTCTTTTATATTTTGGTTACAAAATGCTGTAATAAAATGTAGTTTTTTAAAGTCCATACCTTTGCCCTAAAGCATTTTTTTCGAGATCATCCAATATACTTTGTAATTCCTTCTTGTCTGCTTTACTTGGCTGTTTGAATTCACTGAGAAGCTAGAAAAACTCTTAAAATTATTTCTGCTACAAATCACACTCTTTTTGTTTTTAATTTAAAGATGAATAAAAGAGATCATGCATAACAATGTCAAGAACAAAACAAAATTTATGACACTATCTTACAAAGTACCGGGTAAAGAAGACAGAACACACAAATATGCTAACACAAATATACAAATGCCTCTAAAACTTGGTAATGTTATTTATCTTAATATTTTTTAAAAGCTACAGAAATTTCAGGAGGAATACTTTACCCTAAATTGTTCTTGCTGAAAAGCATATACTAAATCTTTGAACTTGTCTTCTATAGTTGGGTCACAGGTGTTATCTTCACTATCACTTGAATCCTGCAAGTTCTGTGGCTCCCAGTATTCTCTCTTAAACACAATGATAACTTTTTGAAACTATAATTACTTTTGTCCCAAAATCATCTTCTTTTCAACCACTACTCCCAACCCTCCCCCCCCCCCAAAAAAAAAAAAAATGTATCAAAGTACAAGGTCTATACCTTGCTTACTGTGCATCCTTATGAGTGGTACATATGGAAGAATTATCAAACTAATTTAATTTATTGACCTTTTTCATTCTATATACATTGTTCTAGTTCTTAAATATTGTACAATTCATATTATAAATAACATTAATTGTCACAATCATGATGTCACAAATAAAAGAACTAATCATCATTCACAGAAAAGTCAAGCTTACTTTTAACCAATTTAGTGCCAACTTTGCCCCAGACTTCAGTAAGTTTAGAGATGGCATTGAAGTGTGAGATGATTCATGCCTCAATTCCACTAGCCACTGTGGTATAGCAAGCTGAAAATGAAATTGTAATAATTGTACAGGGAATATCTGTTAATATATCTACATTTTTCTTTCTTTTTTTTTTGTAAAATAATGGACAAAATTTCATTATCAATTATAATATCTTCATATACAAAATAATCAAAAATTTCTTCAATTAAAGATTCTGTACCACTCTAATGTTATGTGCAACTATACCAAGGTGAGCTGTGCTTACCTCTTCTGCTAAGATGTGCACTGGCTGTGCATATTGCTTGTTTTGATTATTCTCAGTCATCAAATTCACAAACCTATAAGAATATAGACCATTCCATGATGTCCACTATATTTCACAGAATTAAGAGATTAGTAAAACAATACCTATGCCATATTCTTTTCCATTAAATCTAAAACATAATTCTTTATAATTCAAAATTCTATCCTGAACAGATTTGGATAGATATGCCAGTCCTTCTGCTTCTAAAAGTAATTTACTTTTTTAATTTTAAAATCATCACCTTATCAAGGCCATTGCAAAGTTATGCTGGAATTTGGTATGATTTGGTAAATGTGGTCCCTTCTGGACAGCAGCCTTGTGATCCAGACAAGCCTCAACTAGTGCAGCAGTACATTCCACAGCAACAGGCAGTCTATGTAACATTCTGTAAAACATATATTACATATCAATGTTTTAAATTCCACCAACTATCAAATTAGTTAATTCAATGTTGTGTTGAAAACTGATCTAACGACCAAAATAGGTGAAAATGGATATGGAGATTGGTGACCTCTAATAGTTAGGCAGCCACCTACCTTTTGTACATGTACTGGTATACATTTGCACAGGACAAAAATGCCATAAAGCCCATGACACCGTTGAATAAATTCGCATTTTAACCAATTTGTTACCTGTTTTTCCACACAGCTACCCTCTGTATGGCCTGTTGTTGTTTTCTCACTTCATTACTGTATAGTCCATGGTACACTCTTTCCCACTCAGACCTGAAGAAAAGTGAATGAGTAACTAAAGAAATTAAACGACCATTTCGGCATGTCTTATTCTTTTTAACAGCACGATATAAAGGTGCTGAGTTGTGATCATTTGGATACAGTAGGACTAAGGGGCCCGTGCCCTATATCTGTACTTACTGAAAATTTAAACCACCTGATATTAAAACAAAACATGTTCACCTGTTCAACCAACCAACCACGCGTTTTTGCCTGGGCGCCGCCATTTTAAACAGTCACATGATCATACCTTGACCGCTTTATGTTAGTCTTCAGTGCCATTCATATTATTTTTAATTTTATTTTTAATCTGCATCTTCTATAAACCTTGCAATGTTCTTTGTTTTAAAACAAAGTAGGTCTAAGTCTATCGAATATTCCCTTCACCCTCACGAGATTTCTGCGTGGTGCAACAACTGTAAACCGGTCGGCCCCTGTAAACAAACAGGTCACGTGCAGTAGTTAGGAAGAAGTGCATTTATGAGATTTATCAATCTCTGGATAAAAACCGGGGATGCATGAACAAGGTATTCACTTGTTGTCTATATATGAGTGGTTTTTGACGTTAACTCAATAAATTTGGTAAAACATTTTAGATTCAAGTTACCTGCAATTTACTCGTGAGGGCACAAAATGAAAATTTGCGTCAGCTTGCCTGTTTACGGTTTAGGTTTAATTACCTCAGGTACGTGCCTAGCGTATAAAATTATAAGGCCGAAAACTAAGCAAATGCGTTTACATTTTAATTTCTATTAACATACATAACAGAAACCGTAAATATATAAGTGAGTTAATGCATGACAATTTGTGCTACCTTTTGACGGGGCCGCTTTTGACGCATTTGATGCAAAACCTTTTACTGAAACTGCTTAGTCATTTGTGATAATAAAGCTGTGTCAGTTCATATTGAAATGCCATACTGTATTGATTGTAAATTGCAGTTGCTGTTTTCAGAGCCTGAAAAGGACAAAATCTAGCTAGTGAACTGTTTCTGACAATTGAGTATGGGCTCAATTATAACCAGGAAAACAGAAGAGACCAAGGTAACGTACATGTAATTGACATTTGACTGATATTTGATAGTCCAGTGCTCCCACGTATCAAACAGTATACATAACCTAAAAATTGTGTTTGACTTTGAGTTTTTCCAACTCTTTTTTCACAATCCCGTGGACTTTTAGAACAAATTAGGGTCATTTTTCACGGCATTGTTATTCATCGCACAATCATGAGGCCAATTTTTAAAGGTCGATTTTTGTTTGTCACTTTGGTAATAGTTTAACTCAGAGTGCTAAAGACAATTTATCCTGAGCTTTCTTGTGAACTAGGTAATCTACAGTGAAAAACAGTTTGATGCACACAAAATATTTTTTACAAAAATAATTAGTTATGTCCTGATCAAAGATGTACTACAATGTATCTGGTACCTTCCACAGCCAAGGCCAACCTTCATTAAATATTTTCAAGTGATATCTGGTAAAATTTTCAAAGCTTTGTAACTTTTTTAAAACAATATAATGGAAATTTTATCTTGATTATATCAAGATCCTTTTTTTTTTTTAGTCTTAGGAGTGGATTTTAAAATGATATATTTAAATGTTGAAAGTAGTTTCCTTTTGTATTTGTAGTCTTCAACAGCAGTCCATGGAGGAGAGGGACCAAATATATCTTCAAGGGTAATGTCATGAAATTGTGAAATGTACTGTACTTTCATGTAATTACCAGTAAAATATGTTAATTTTAAGTTTTTATTTATGTGATTTGCTAATGCAGTTTATGTTTGGATTTTTACTTTTATTAATTGAGTGTCAGGGAATATTTATTTGAGCTTTTTTTATTCAAAGTCTGCGCCACATGGGACCAACACAAAGGAACCTGATCTTGAATCTGACAAAATCAGCAGCCAGGAACAAGTAGCAGGGTGTTGGGAAGAAATTGATAGGCAATGTGAAAGACTTGAAAAGATGTGCTACTGTCCTTCAGCAGATCAGACACTACAAAGTGATGTCACAGGCTGGAAAACTGCTAGAATATTTGTATCGTCCACATTTAGAGATTTCCATTCAGAAAGGGAGGTTCTGGTGAAAAAGGTACTAGTAGATGCACAAGTGAAGAAATCACACACCAAATGACTGATGAACACAATGTCACTGATATTTGAAAAATAAAAAAAGGTGGGAGGCATTTCCCTTAGGCGTATCATTTATCAGTGAAAATATCTTAAATAGATGCACTCCATTTGTGATGATTAGATCCTAACCACCCTAGCTCAGTCTAAATAAGTGACATTAATTCCTTCCTTTAACACACTTCTTATTAGGTCTTTCCTGAGCTACGTGAATGGTGTGAAGAACGGAAAATCCATCTGGTGGAGTGTGATTTACGCTGGGGTATCCCCAGTGATTCAACAACTGCTGCCACCATTGCCACGTGTTTAGAGGAGCTGGACAGGTGTCACAGTGAAACTGAAGGAAAACCTTTCTTTCTTAATCTATTGGGAGAAAGGTAAGTTTTAGTAACCTAGAGGCATGAGATCAAACATATATACAAATGAAAGCATATGTATACCAGTAGTTCTAAATGTTAGTGCTACTATTATTTTTACCTTTGTTTTCCAATTGGATTCTCTTCTAGGTACGGATGGATCCCATCATTGTCAGATGTGCCAGAGGCTGTCCAGGAGAAGTACCTGTGGGTGCCCAATACCTCCATCACATGTATGGAAGTGTTATATGGAGGATACAGGTCAGATCACATACTAAAAAAATGTACATGTTGAAAAATCAAGGTTATAAGATTGATTTTAAAATGTGTTCACGCACATACATGCATGCAAATGTGCATGTGCACTCACACACATAGTCATCATAAATAATTACATAAAGGCGCAAAGAAAATTTAAGATTTATACATTTAAGAGATATCATGCTACGGCTTACAGATATGGTATTTTAATTTTTAATTTAATAATTTTATTAAAATAAGTGAAGGGTATTAATGAAACCATTTGAAAATTTCTTTTTGCTGCTGGTCTACCACAGTGTTATAAGATGATGTATTTTGGGTTTTTTTGGGGTGAGCTGGATGTGTAGCATAGTTAATATTTGGCTCTTTTTTACCTTTGAATTAAAATATCTTCCTAAAATTGTTATGATAAATTTTAAAAGATATGCTGTACTCCTTTTTTTTTAGAACAAAAAATCCCAATGCTGCCTTTTTCATTAGAGAAAAAGATTTTTTAGCAGATTTGCCTGAACAGTGTGCAGATGCATATTATGAGAAGGGTGTGCTACCCCGAGAACATCTGAAGGTTTGAATATTTTTAAAATTATTTTAAACAAGACTGTTTTTTGTTTGAAAATTTGAAAATTTAAATACATAAGGATATATAAAGATACATGTAATGAGAGTTATGAAAAGCTTACTTAGGAAATTTGTGTAAATAGTGCTTATGTGATTTGTTTAGGTGCTGAAAGAAAATCTGAATAAAAGATTCCCAAATCAAACATTCCATTATTCGTGTGAAGTCAGTTTGGAGAATGAACATGGAACACGTCCAAAGGTAAGTAAATATTTGTTTGCTTTTTTATGTATTGTTATTTTTTCTTTTGAAAATAATGCACTAATGCTTGATGACTGTCAGGTCATTGATTCTGAAGTAAGATGAATATAGTTTCCTTAATTGGACATATTTTTTCTGTGTAGTCTAAAATGTAAATTAAAAGAAATCGTTCATTATTTGGAATGGTGCAGTAGAGTTTTCATCTATTCTGTAGGCTAAACTTACTGGTCTGGAGGATTTTGCTACTCAAGTTTTATATTTCTACAAAAATGCCATAGAGAAAACATTCCCTAACCAAAGAGATATCAAAACATTACCCAGTGATGAATATGGTAAGAAAATATTTTATTTCTAGTAAATTGGCTAAAGATTGAGAAAGATGTGTAGAAATACATATATATACTTTTATGCTAAAACTTGTGTGACGTTCATTTGTCAGCTGGTACCTTATTTCTTTTCTTTTTGTATGATATATTTATTTGCAGAGGATGCAATGCAAAAGAAATATGTAGAACAAAAGTCGGAGGGATTAATTGGAAGAGAGGAAGAGGTACAGGTGCTGCTGGCTTATGCCAAAGGGGGCCCCTACCCAGCAGACAATACTTGTGGTAAATACATGCTTTGTTAATCTTATGGTGTGGTTTAATTTAGAGGATGTTAATGGTAGTGATTCTGTGCTTCAATTTGTCAAGAAAGCCTGTTTTTGTAAAGCTTTGTCTACATTTTACGAGGTTTCTCCCTTTTTCCCC